CTAATTCGCCAAGCTGCGAAGGGGTAAATCTCATTAAACTAGACTCTACCATAGCGATGAATATGTATAAAGAAAGGTGGAGTTGTCTCCATGGATGGGGGACGCCAGCCACATCCATGGCCTTCGATACGACAAGGTGTGATACCATTGACAAATGTTGGCCCTTTTTACCATACCTGCACCGTCAGAGAATGGTCCTGGTTGTTGTTGCCCGCCGAGCACCACACCACCATGCACAAGCGAGCACCAAGGGATTGTCGACTGCTACTTGATGGATTTTTATTGTTGGAGGGTAGCCATTCCATTCGATCATAATGTTGCAACTATTATTGGCCTCACGCTAATCGTACCAAGTTGCACTGACTCTTTGTTCGTTTTCGGGAGCTAGTGAAATGAAATATATAGAAATCCGACCCTTTGTCCGTTGCCAGGAGCTGGTAAAATGAAGATATGTAGAAATGTGTAACCTTTTGTCCATTGCTAGGGCCTAAATGAGATAGAAATCTGACCCTTTGTCCATCGTCGGGAGTTGTGTAGATAGAATAAGATCAACTCGTTGTCCATTGATGGGAGTCATGCGGCAAAATAGGCTCTTTATCCATTGCTAGGAGCCAAATATGTAGCAGTAAACACCGTTGCAAAGGACATGACCGTCAAAAACACCCAGCCATGTTGCGTAGATAATGTGGCCGTGTATGGCCATGTGTAAGGGAATGCTGCTGAAGTAGAACATGTTTGTATCATTCCCAACGAAGTGGGTAAATGCTGCTCCTGGCGATATATAAGAGAATAATGTTGAATGTTGCTTTTGGCGATGTTGACTCCATTGCAGCAATTAGTAGAAAATAGGAACTGCACACTTGATGTGAGAAGTGAACGTTGTGGGCCCTTACTGATATGGATCCACACACATCGTTGGTGATGTAACCATATAAACTCATCCCTCAACAATCATATATAGGGACACCAAACTTTCACAGTATACTTGCATCAACAACTTCATGCCTAAAATTGCATTTAATTAACAACCATAATTAATTCAAGAGGGGGATTTGTAGAATTACAACTTGATAAAATATGAAATATGTGGTGATGGAATTAAAAATGTCCATCATTTGTTCCAACTGTTAAGTCGACTATGCCTTATAGAGAAAGTATTTGAAGTAGCGAGGGGTTTATGTTCAATAATTGTCGGGGAGTTTTTTTGCCAACACTTGAGGTTAACCTCAAATAGAGGGTGAGAGAAGGGTGGGAACTATGCAGTAAAATGGTTTGTTTATGTATGGTCATTGTAGTTAATTAGGAATAACTATGTTATACATATATATTTGGAATTAATATGATCATCAAAGTTTAGAAATACCTCACATACTCCAAATATTAATAAAAATCAACTTTTATTATTGAAAATAAATTGATAACTATAATTTTGATACAAGTATATAATATATTATTATTTTATTTTTACTTGAATGAGTTCTTTCTGTTTTTATTTGATAGATATTTTATTCTTCTATTAGTATATGAGTAAAATTGTAGAATAAAAAAATCTCACATCACCTAAAAATAAAAAGTAAAGCTTATCAACAGTTTATATAAGAAAATGCCCAGATCCCACATCGCTTAAAAACAAAAGGTATAGTCTACAAATACCTTATATAAGGAAAGATTTAAAATATGTTAGTCAAATTTTTAAAGTTCTAAAGTGTTGGGCTT